CCCCAAAACCCCAAAACCCCAAAACCCCAAAACCCCATATTAAAAATTTATTAAATAAAGATGAAGTCAGTTTCTTTAAAGCAAGAGAAAGAGTCAACTTTCTTTAAGAGCTACATTGCTGGAGGGGTCTCAGCAGTATTCTATAAAACATCTACCGCTCCGATAGGTAAGCCGGTTCTCTGCTGGATTCTATTTCTGCTTTTGGGAGTCATTAATTCTATAAAGGAATAGTATTAAATAGCATTTTTGCTAATGAATCATGATTCTTTGCAAACAACCACTCTCTGACCATCTTTGTATAGAGAGGGTAACCCTTTTGTTACAGAACCAAGATTCTTCATTACAGATTACAAAGAAGAATAGATACCTCAACTCAAGAGACTGTGTTAAGAGAGTTGTGAGAGAGCAAGGTTTCTTTTCACTCTGGAGAGGATATTCGGTGACCATTGTTAGATATTTTAACTCGCAGTCTTTTATTTTCGCCATGAATAATCAGTACAAAAAGCTGAACATCTATGACAAGAGGAAGGATCCAGTAAAATTTGCTGCTGCTAATATCCTTTCAGGGTCTGCAGCAGGACTTACTAGCTCCTTGCTCTTTTACCCACTTGATTTCTCTAGGACTAGACTAGCAGTTGACATTGGTAGAAACAAATAAAGAAAGACAATTTCAAAATATCTATGATGTCGCGTCTAAAATCATGAGGAGTGATGGGCTTACTGGCTTTTATAGAGGCCTCAGCATCACACTTCTCCTCACAGTACTGTATAGGGGTAGTTATTTCGGTCTCTATGATACTGGAAAAGCTTATTTATTCAAAGATCATAATAAGCAGAACTTTTTGGGTCTCTGGTTTTTAGGAACTCTTACAACTTGTTTCTCGAATTTTGTATTTTATCCCCTAGATACTGTAAAGAAGAGACTACAGATGCAATCTGGGAGACTCAACAAGCAGTATTTATCCACAACTGATTGTATCAAGACAATCTATCAGATAGAAGGCATCAGAGGATTTTTTAAGGGTGTTGTTCCAAATGTCACAAAAGGATTTGGAGGAGCTTTAGTATTAGTATTAAATGATAAAATTAAAAAGCTTCTACAGTAAAGAGCATTCTAGGGGTTTTGGGGTTTTGGGGTTTTGGGGTTTTGGGG